ACCGATCGTGTGCTTCCAGGGAAATTTTGTCCACTCATTCACATACTACTCAATATGAAATTATATATATATATATATATATATATATATATATATGCAATTTCCATCTATTGTACACACTTTCTTTGCTATGATGATTTTTCATTTGAAATTTTCTCTTCTTATCTCCATTAAGTTGCTCTCTGATACAGCCGGAAACCTGTATCACGTGTCGATGTGTCAGCAGAAGCCATCGGTTGTGCAAACGGATGTCCATTCAACCGATGGCTTTCGTCTATCGGATGTGCGGATTATGCCGGCCGCATTCGTTCGTCTGGAGGAGACAGAGGCACATGGAAGAAAATTCACACTTTCAAGACAACTACTCACAGTTTTTGTCCTGTCCGCCGGAGGTGTGGCCATCATCGAACCGGACGCGTCACGAGCTCGGACTAGTGAGTTTTCTTCCCGGGTTTTCCGGCTACCATCAACCCACTCTCTCCGTCCTTGTCGCACATTTGATAAGCATTACTATCCTTTTCCCTGATTGGTGTTTTTCAAATAAGTGTTGTGATTTCTATTTGGTTCTCATTTAGCAAGTTGTAAAAGCTGAAGAGGTGTACTAAATGGCACCAAATCGATTCCAGATTCACCGTAATTGGTGCTTAGAAACCTACGTTAATATGACCGATTTTCCAAAACATTGATGCTCATACATCTGTTCACTAAATACGGGTTTAATTTACATTCGGTATGCAGCTTTTCTCTGTTATAAGTCTGCATCTAGCTGGGCTGTTCGTTACCGGATGAGTCGCACGGGGAGAGTGGCCCGTTCAAGGGTTAATCAGGAATATGTGCGGGTTTCCACAATAAATCAGCGGACGATCAGCGACAATGCCCAATTTTCATCTGGCTAGCGATCTTTGGGATAAACATGGCCATACGTGTCCGTAGAACTCATCGTTACATGTACTTATGTGGCTCGGGAGCGGATAGGATACCTCTTCCCCTCGATTACCATACAAATGGCATTTGGTTGTACAAAGGTTGGAGTAAAACCATCTAGGAGAATAATAGGGGGAGTGTAGTTGTTAGGTTGCCATTGATCAATGATAAAGTGCAATTGACCTTGACCTCTTATGATGTTATGAATGTCGCTCTTGTCATGTGGTTTATACCTGTTTCAACTTAAGATTAATACCAATTTAAGATGTCATGTTGCTATGTGGATAGCAGAATAGTGCGATTGTCCCGTCGTTTCACATTGTTTTGTACTTTTTGTGATGCTCTTGTTGTGGCGTGTGGGGAAGTCACGCCTGCTGTACAGTCGAAGTTCACTGGGCGTGTCTGCGACTCGCGGTTGTAAACAAGGTGTGGTTTCTCGCTCGGGTTAGCTGGACAACCACCAGGTCTTTTGTTGCGGTTGAACTATCCGACCGATCAATGAATGAACCCGATCGATCGTGTGATCTTCTGGCAGGCATAGCCGGCGGATAATCACTGAATTCGATGCTGCTTAAGTGTTGGTAGAGAATCACCACAGGAGAATCAGTTATGGAACGATGCATCATGTGGTGAATTCGGAATAAAAAACGTTCAAGCGATGATGGCACTGGGCCAACGCTTAAATCGTATAAGATAAGATCGTATAAGATGCTACTAACCGCAACAAACAAATATATATATCAAGTGAGTGATAGAGGATTTGATTTGATTTCAAAGGTTATTCGTCGTGTATATGGCAAACGAAACGTGAACTGAAAAGCTAGGAAGCACTGGACAGCGTAGTGGGTAGCACGCTTGTGTTCTGCCCATGAAGTCCCGGGTTCGATCCCCAGTGGGGTCGATGGATTCGCACTGCTGATGAGATCCAAACAAGGTCGAAACAGCTGTCCAGTGCTACCTAGCTTTTCAGTTCACGTTTCGTTTGTCATATACACGACGAATAACCTTTGAAATATATACATATATATATGTATATGTATATATATATATATAGATGTATATATATATATATATATATATCACCGGCTTGTGGACAAGCATGGTGCATGGTTTTAAATATCATTCAGTGAGGATCGGACGGTGAGGTAGTTGAGTAGTCTCCTATTGTTTCTATGGTTGTCTCTCCTTTGTCCATATTACATAATGACCTCGGGATGATCGTAACCGATGGTTAGAGACACAGTGATATGGCTGGGTGTCACAACCAGTGGCGNATCACTGAACTTCTTCATTTTCTGTTCGACTCCACTTTCAACTTTCCTTTCTTCTCCTATTCGTCATCCAAATGGGCAGCCAAAAGACAGCAACCAAAACCGGCGCACGAATATGCGTGGTTAATGGTTGTACAAACTGCAACTGCAATAGTGAGACAACTTATGGAAATCGTCTGAAAACTGCTTTCTAATCATGGAATGACGTGCTCTATTCGTAGTGTTACTTATAACCTTGAATATGGAACAAGTGAGTATCTGTAAAACCACCAATCCAGCAAAATCGAGGAAACCGAAAATTTCCTCTATCCCCTATATATCCCATTAAGACATTGAGTTGTTCCGTTTTCCGAACTCCATCTCCGGTTTCTGTAACTGGCACGAGGATATGACAAGTTTGACTTAGAAACTTGGACAATTAGGTTGCACTATGATTTCTCTATAAAGATCACAGGATCTGTGTAACCGATGTTTATAAACACAGTGCTATAACTGAGTGTTGTAAAGACTGGCGCCCTTGCGCCTACTCAATATCTATGCAACCTTAGACTACCTGAATTCTCTATTTTCACCCTGAAGCCGATTTGAACATTCCGATCTTCTCTCTATTCCTTCATCCAAATGGACAGCCAAAAGACAGCAGTCGAAACCACAGCACAAAAATGTATGATCAGATGAAGTAAGAAAAACTGAAACCTCCGGTAACCGTTGTGCTGGTCTTTGTGAATATTCTACTGTTCATCTGATGTGTAGACCACAGTATTCACCCTAAAAGTGACTATTTCCTTCTATTTTTTTTTTCCTATTTTTCTAATTAATTTTATAAAATTTAAATTTCCGGATTTTCGCACCAGGAAAGACTCATTCCGCACCTCCGGCCATACTTGACCCTCATTGGTGCATTTTCCTGTGACTCACCACTTTCAAGCTAATTTTTAAGGTCATTGATGGCCAGTCCCCAAATTGCCTATAGATGGATGAGCTGCCCGTTTTCTCCTCCTTTTCGGTCGAGCCAAATATACAAACTCGCCTGAAGGCCTTCCTTCCTTCTGTTTTCTGGTCGGGTTCCGGGATCGTACTGGTCTGTGGATCGCTCCTCTCGTTAGTGTCCGGTCGTGTCTCGTTTGGGGTATCACAGTCAGACATACCGGAATCGCTACTCTATCACTGGGCCGCACGGTTCTGTTCCTGGGTCTCCACTGTCACACGTATCGCCGGTCGGGGCTCGTGTAGTCCGGTTGTTTCGTTCAGCTCAACGTTACATCATCGTATTAGAGTGTTTAAAACAAAACCTCGATCGTTTTATCATCAGCCTTGTACCTCCCCGCCTCAAAAGTTTATGAATCGATTAAATGGGCAACCGAATGGTAAAAGTAATGTCGTTATATAGAAGTGTAGAACTAATGCTTTCATGGCTCAAATTATGACAGTCAATATTTCGATCGATTTCACCTTTGTTAGATTTCTTGGTAAGATCCTTTAACACCATCACCGTAAATGCGTATATCTGCTTTTTTTCCGCAGGTCGTAGTGACTCTCAGCTGCTTGTTCCAACTCAGGTATGTCTTAGCAGCACGTGCCCTGGAGGCCGTTTTCCTCGATGTTCTTATACGATTATTTACGCGATTTATCACCTCACAAAATGTTTCATTCCACAGTACTCCGAATTAACTTGGTTGTCCTCAATGTCAGTTTACAGAACTTATCCTATCGAGGGATTAAATGAACGATAGAGATCATTTTAACTTGTGACTATCTGGTTATCGTCCTTATCTGTAATTCTGGTCAGTCCCAGTTTTAACTAGTAAACGCATTGCTTTCATGCGAGGGGTCTGAAGTCGAACTTTGGAATGGGCAGTTGGATACGCACTACTGACGTGTCCCGATGAGGGTGAATCCCGTGTCTAGTGTTTTCTGGCTGTTTGTATTTGTTTGGATGTAGTTAAGTTTGTGCTTGAAGATGAGCTGTGAACCACAGCAAGACAGACTCAACTCCTTTGTCCCCATGGTAACAGCCAAGGTGTCTGCTGTCATCCAACTGTATCAGTCTCGGACTGACTGATCGTCAGATAGTGTTTGTGTTCATGGACGCCACTCCCATTCCTATGGTTAGTATGATCAGTCAGCACCTCCTGGAGACGTCAAAGAAGAGATTGGAATGATTCCTGTGCTTGATCTACGAAGCAAAGGAACAATCCGCTTGATAATCAATCCAGGGAGGGGAATGTTCATCACGGAGTACGAATATTCATGTTGAGACTTCGTATTTAGTCCGTGGTTGACCGATTAGGCCGATTGTGTTTTACCTCTGCGGTAAACGACTTCTCAGCCTGATACCTAACTTGTGGATGGATATGTGACAGTGGCGTTTGTTCACCATGCACCGGGCTTTCTGCTTGTCAGTTTCTAATCAGTGCGTTGCTGGACGTTCGATCCGGTTTCACTGGTACCCAAACGAAAGTTAATTCACTTATTCTCGTTCAATCGGGTTCGGAATACAAATCCCGGGATTTTGTATGCACCGGTTGGTTAATCTCTTTGTGATCGTCGTCTGTTGATCTTCTACTGCTAAACCCATGACTCAAATTGAAATAAAAGTAGCAAGGCCTATAAAAACGTAAAATGAATACGCTTGAAATAGGTCTCAAGAGCCTCGATCGGAAAGTACTGCCTCATTACTGGTTGTCTTATCCTTCAGGATTCTGACCCATTTTTATTTTCACTCTGTGGCCTAATCAAGTGCACAGTAAACGAAGTAAACCAACTAGTTGATTGCTAGAACCGATAGCCAAAGCTCTGTGGTAGTCTGATAACTGTTGTTGATGTATAGAACAAAACAAGATGACCTACGGAGACTTTGAGTGCCAACTGTTGAGTTCTTGCTCTCATATACGACGATATATAATACCTATGTTATGCGTATCCCTGGATTGGATAGAGTGCAAGTTTTAACGAGGCAAGGGGTTCGGATGGTGGTTCGTTTTGTCTTCATTGATTGACCCGAAGAGTTGCTCAGAGGCAGAAACGGACCCGGATCCCCATAGCTGCATGAAAAATGGTTTGCAACGTTGAAGGGAGTCAAAGTTTTTATGACTATACTCTGCTAGAAGTTTTGTTTTTGAATATATCTGATGGTACCGGTTGGTGACAAGAATGATGCAGATAGAACTGAACACAGATTACACAATAATACGATAACACACAACTGATGTGACACGCACGTCGTGTCCAAACAGCAGTCAATACAACAAAGCGCCCACTACGGCGATCGACGATAAATACAGGTTTGACACTCGCAGTAGACGTACACGATATTACAGAGCGCGAAAACACACGGAGATGCGATATGGGTACGAAGCACTTACTTCCACGACCACACGAGTCGTCTGGTCCCAAGAGTACGATCACAGCACAGACTTCACACCACGAGCATTAGTAGCCTTCTCCCAGCTACGGAACATGAGAACACAGGCGTCGAGCAACGAACATGTACTTGACACACTGGAAGTAAGTTCGGTTTACAGTGTCAGATCGTCTGTTTATATTCTGTCCCGGTCTCTAGACGTAGAGGCCTTTAAAATGCATGCAAAA